CGATTGAGCGGAGAAATGAAGATAAACGAGGGAATAAAGTGGAGCGGGGAGACGAGGCCGAGAGGGATGGTGGCGTTCTCCTAATGGGACGTTATGAGAATGTGGACGCGGGGGGGAAAAGGTGAAGCTGCTTTACGTCTGCGCTGCTGTGAATTATGGGATGTGATGATGATGATGACTTTAGAAGTGGCGTGACCCGTCTGTCCATCAGCTCAGGCTCATAAACACCTCCTGATCTGATAGTTACACACCTGACGCTCTCGTACATTTCAGACAGAATCACTACAGCTTTTTACTGATTGTTCAAGCACATGAAACACAATCGTTCAGTGATTCATTTGCATCATTATACTGATTTTTCGTTTTCACACACAACACACACACACACACACACACACACACACACACACACACACACACACACACACACACACACACACACACACTCACACCAGGGGCGTAGGAGCAATTTTGAACCTGGGGGGGACAGTAAATGCTAGGGGGGGGGGGATGTCCCGAATTTTTGTATATACTTTTTTATATATAAGGCACTTAAATGCTTATTTCTAAAGACTTATGGGAACAGACTGTATTACTTAGTTTGGTCTAAGCAGTGATTAAATTGTGATTTATTATGTGGGCTCTCCCTAGGGGGGTCCGGGGGTAAGCTCCCCCGGGAATTTTTTTTGAAAAATAAACCATTAAATGGCACTTTCTGGAGAGTTTTGTGCAAAGAAATTGAGAAAATGAGTCTTACATGATATGTGAAAAACTGCAAGGTTAAGAGCATATACTTTGCATTGTTGTAGTATCAACAGGTATTAGGACATTTAGCATTTACATACATTACTGTTAATCAGTCATGTTGATTAACTAAAAATTAAAAACTCAAATAAATGGTTGATTTAATTTCCATCAACCACCTAGCTTACCCCCCAAGGATTGAAAAATAAAATCAATCTATACTTGTGGAAAGGTTCCTTGGTAGCTAAGGTCTAGCAAGTCTTATATTTCTGTAATTCACACAGATCAAACACAAATATGCTGCCTGAATAGATTGCTAGTTTGTTTTGAGTAGCCAGTTAGCAGTTCTCTTGGCAGTTTGCTGATAATCCGGTGTCTGAAGTAAAATGCTCAAAACATCTCCTGAGAAAAATCACATGGCCAACCTAGTCTTGGTCATTTAATTTAGATTTAGTCTTATTTTCCTTACCTTGTCATTTAAGGCCAGGGCACTTTATGTACATTTCTGGAACTTTTGCACGCTTCCACATCCCGCGCAACTAGGATCTCCCAGGAACACTCATTATATATAGGGTCGTCCCGCGTGACGTCACGCCATTTGGAGCAGCCATCTTGACGGTATAGAACAGGGTCTCCAACCTTTTTTCATTTGAGAGCTACTTTTTAAAATGAAGTGGCCGAGAGCTACTCATGTAATACAATACTTAAATCTCTGAGATAATGTCTCATAACTCGCATATTAACAACTATCTAAACTGTTTTAGACCTAAAAGGGTTTTTGTATGCCTATGTCACCCTTAAATGTCAGAGATCAGAATCAGAGATTATTTTTTTATAGAAAATTGTACTTTGCATATTATATTGTAAAAACACATAATTATAGTTGATTTTATAGTTCATCATGACTAAATATGAAATGGCATGATAATTTAATTTCATTAGTGACCAAAATGATCACGGTAATCACAGAATCCTGTTCAAAAAGTACTATACTACACAATGAAATCAATTCACTAAGTTGTATGTCGAAAACCAGCAAATAACAAATAAATCAGCATCAATATGCACTTTTTGTTTACATAAACATTAAAATAATAACATTAAAAATTATGGCTAGATTTTAAAGGAGTGTCTTGCAACATGTTATCTAGCCTACTGTACAAGTATGTACAAGTTCAAATAAAGTTTTGACAAAAAATGTTTTATAAAAATATAAACCTCACATAGTATTTCAGCCTTTAAATCGTTTTTATAAAAAGAATGAGCCAAAAAAGATAAATTACTGACTTTTACAATGCACATTAGCTTATCTTTTATTATTAAGAGTAAAATTCAATCTGATTTTCCCGTGGCGTCTGTCGTCTGTCGTTGTCATGCACTGCGCTCTCCACAATGACAAAGAAGTTTTAGTAGCTAATAGATTTCCACCACCGAAAAACACTTGCTGTAGCTCTACTACAAGATTTATTTACGGAGAAGAGAAAAACACCCGTAGTGTTTGGGTGCACCCCCATCCTTCATGTTGACTGAGCTTTCAATGTTGTTATGGAAAGGGTGAAGCTGATTGGTTGACCTGCGGTACGTTTGCGGCATACTGAATAGTTGCATTTTTTCCATCTCGCTGCACCTGGAAAAAAATAGCGCGTCGCTTTAATTATGAGCGCGCTTGCCTCGCACCTACATTTGAAATAACGAACTTGAGCACGCAAAAGACTCGATATGTGAACGGCTCCTTGACGAGCAACCTCCAATCAGG